CCCCCTACGTAGAATGTCAGTAACATTTACTTACAGAGATACACCGTTTCCTCCCCCTACATAGAACATCGGTAAAAGTTACTTACAGAGATACACCGTTTCCTCCCCCCTACGTAGAATGTCAGTAACATTTACCTACAGAGATACACCGTTTCCTCCCCCTCCGTAGAATGTCAGTAACATTTACTTACAGAGATACACCGTTTCCTCCCCCTACGTAGAATGTCGGCTGCATGTTGTTTGGAAGACTACATGATGGAAGCTTTGATTGTTTTCCCCCTGGAGACTTCTTGCCTCCAAATTTTCTGACCGATTTAGGCTGTGTATCTTCCTTAACTTCTGGTGGAGCTGAAGCGGGGGTGGGACCGGGGGCTGTCCCTGGGGCTGACCCTGGGGCTGACCCTGAGGCAACTGACTTTTCTGTCTCTCCTTGATCTGTTAGGGAAAAAAGAAATCAAATATCACATCATGGTTTAATTAAGAAAAACTTTGCCAAAAATGCTGAAAGTGATTTGCAATCAACAATGTAAAACTGAACTGTTGTGTTGCCTCCCCTTAATCTGCAAAGGTGTCCATTTGATAGCACTGCCTTCATAAAATATGAGAAAAATTATTTGTCTATTTCTGTCAGTATTTTTCATGACAACGTAGAGATCTGGCCTGAGTAAGACATTGTGACAACGTAGAGATCTGGCTGGAGTAAGACATTGTGACAACGTAGAGATCTGGCTTGAGTAAGACATTGTGACAACGTAGAGATCTGGCCTGAGTGAGACATTGTGACAACGTAGAGATCTGGCCTGAGTAAGACATTGTGACAATGTAGAGATCTGGCCTGAGTAAGACATTGTGACAACGTAGAGATCTGGCCTGAGTAAAACATTGTGACAACATAGAGATCTGGCTGGAGTAAGACATTGTGACAACGTAGAGATCTGGCCTGAGTAAGACATTATGACAACGCAGAGATCTGGCCTGAGTAGGACATTGTGACAATGTAGAGATCTGGCCTGAGTAGGACATTGTGACAGCCTAGAGATCTGGCCTGAGTAAGACATTATGACAGCGTAGAGATCTGGCCTGAGTAAGACATTGTGACAACGTAGAGATCTGGCCTGAGTAAGACATTGTGAAAACGGAGAGATCTGGCCTGAGTAAGACATTGTGACAACGTATACGTAGAGATCTGACCTGAGTAAGACATTGTGACAATGTAGAGATCTGGCCTGAGTAAGACATTGTGACAACATAGAGATCTGGCGCCTGAGTAAGACATTGTGAAAACGGAGAGATCTGGCCTGAGTAAGACATTGTGACAACGTAGAGATCTGGCGTGAGTAAGACATTGTGACACCGTAGAGATCTGGCCTGAGTAAGACATTGTGACAACGTAGAGATCTGGCCTGAGTAAGACATTGTGACAACATAAAGATCTGGCCTGAGTAAGACATTGTGACAACATTTTAACTATGTAAATAAAAACAAATGTAGCATTTTGCACACAAGAACATTACATGAAAATGTTTTGCAAAACTTCATTGCAACATTTCTACAACTATCTTAACATAATGTTACATTCATAAATATCAAATTCAGGAAATTCTGTGTATACATGGTAATGTCTTGGAGTTATCTTATTTTAAAAGAAGATTTTTGTAAAAAATTCAGATCAATGAATCAAGTTTTAACTTTTTACCTGAGTAATCTCTTGTTCTAACGAATCCTGCAATGGTGTTTCTCCTCTGGATTTTTACCCGATCTAAGAAAGATCTAATCTTTATTCGTTCCAGAGCCTGAATGACCTTGACCTGGTCATTGGCACCAACCTTGACACGATGCAAGGATACATTCTTTTTTTTAGACACAGCACACTGCAGTGCCACAGAACATTGAAGGGGAGGTAACATTTCAAAATTAGGTGTCTATGGAAACTGAAGGAACTTTAGAACAGGAAGTCTGAAGTCTTAAAATTCAGTCTCAAATATTATAGACTTCTATCTGTAACTCCTGATAAAAAAAGTCTCAAAGCACCATTCAAAAGTCTTCTGCATTTCCGGTTGATGAATCAACTCTATCAATATTTAATGACCACAATAAATGTTTCCTCTATTCACCGAAGACAAGGTTGTCAAATTTGTTACGGTATGTTCTAGTTAAGCTGTGACGATATATATCACTCCAGTTTGAAAATCCTTGAAACCTGATTTCATATTCCCGAGGTTACGACATCCAAACTATAACATTCTGTGAGTGTCCTGTTAAAGGTACATCCAGACATTCTCTCTCAGACCTCGTGTAGTTATATGAGACACGATTGATATGACAACATGTTGTTTCTGAGCTGTCATGTCTCAAACCACTAAATCTTTCTTGTTTATGAGCTTCAATGTCAAACCAATAAATCTTCGGAGAGTAAATACTCAACCAGCATTTTAAAACACAAGTCTGAGATTGGTTGACAGCAGCTATTAGCACCATAAAAGTTGAACTATGATCATGAGAAGCCTGATTTTTTTAGATACTTCTGTTTTTGCATCATTTCAAATAAAGTCAACAAAGTTCACACTGAATAATTCAATTCCATATTTCCTAACACAAACAAATGGAAATGCATTGAACTAGAGACGATGAAAGAGAATGAAACACAGGCCTGGTTTCCTTCTCTTAGCAACATGCTAACACACCGGTGAATCCAAGTGCCAGTCACGTTACACATCCTGATAGGTATAGACAGATTGATATCTACAACATGTTATTGATCAATCAATTATATAGACCCCTTATACATATTCAAAGGCTTATTCATCTACCTCTTTAAAGTAAAATTTTCAATATGAAGCAAAAGAAATTATGATCCGAGATATTGGCTTTTTTCTACACTGCTTTTATGTACAGAATACTAGCACCAGTATTTAAACCCAATAGAAATTACAACCTTTTTAAACAGGATATAACATATAAACGCCCTGTAAAGAGGCCTGTCATGTTCGACTAGGGTTTCATCGAGGCCAAAGCGGATGCTGCTGCAGAGCACAACCACGGAAGTAGAATCAATGGGGATAGCAATATGTCTATTGCTTCCAGATCAGCCCTAATCGACAGCTCTTTTTCCCTCCACAAGTCAACCATACGGTTAATAGCTGACATGGCCCAATCAATACTTCACACTTGTGCTTTTATGTTATTTTAGTCATTGAACCTTCCGTAGGCAGGTTTTCCTTGATCATAGCCATAATTTCCATATTCATAAACATGCAATACATTTTACCAGTCCAGGTCTACATTAATGAAGTGCAACATATTTCTTTTCATTATTTGTAATTTAAAATCTTTTATGGCTCATGCTTTCAATAGTAAGACAGACAGACAGACAGACAGGTTTGTTCAGACAAGTTTTGAAGCTCTCAGGCCTGGTTATAATCACATCCCAAGGGCTGTATTAACCCACTCTTTATATCAACCCTCCCCTGTATAACTTCTCATATATAATGACCTCCCCTGTGTAACTTTTCTGTATAATTACCTTCCCTGTATAACTTTCCCTGTATAATAACCTCCCCAGTATGATTACCTCCCCTGTGTAACTTTTCTGTATAATTACCTTCCCTGTATAACTTTTCCTGTATAATAACCTCCCCTGTATGACTTTCCCTATATAATGACCTCCCCTGTATTATTACTTCCCCTGTATAACTTCCCCTGTATGATTACCTCCCCTGAATAACTTCCCCATTATGATTACCTTCTCTGTAAAACTTTCCTTATATAATTACCTCCCCTGTATAATTACCTCCCCTGTATAACTTCCCCTGAATGATTACCTCCCATGTATAACTTTCCTTATATAGTTACCTCCCCTGTATAACTTCCCCTGTTTATTACCTCCCCTGTAAAACTTACCCTGTTTAATTACCTCCCTTGTATAACTTTCCCTGTATAATTACCTCCCCTGTATAACCTTCCGTTATAATTACCTCCCTTGTATAACTTTCCCTGTATACTTACCTCCCCTGTTTAACTTCCCCTGTGTAATAACTTCCCCTTTTTAACTTTCCCTGTATAATTACCTCCCCTGTATAACTTTCCCTTTATTATTACTTCCCCTGTATAACCTTTCTTAAATAATTTCATCCCATGTATACTTTCCTTTTATAATTACCTCCCCTGTATATCTTTCCCTGTATAATTACCTCCCCTGTATAACTTAACATGTATAATGAACTCCCCTGTATAACTTTCCCTTTATTATTACTTCCCCTGTATGACTTTCCATATATAATAACCTCCCCTGTATAACTTTTCCTTTATAATTACGTCCCCTGTATAACTTTCCATGTATAATAACCTCCCCTGTATAGCTTTCCGTGTATTATTACATCCCCTGTATAACTTTCCCTGTATAATTACCTCCCCTGTTTAACCTCCCCTGTGTAATAACCTCCACTGTATAACAATCTTTATATAATTACATCCCCTATATAACCTCCCCTTTATAATTACCTCCCCTGTATAACTTTTCCTGTATAATTACCTCCCCTGTTTAACTTTCCCTGTGTTATAACCTCCAATGTATAACAATCTTTATATATTTACCTCCCCTGTATATTTTCCCTGTATAATAACCTTGCTTGTAAAACTTCCCCTGTGTAATAACCTCCCCTGTATAACAATCTTTATATAATTACCTCCCCTGTATACTTTCCCTGTAGAATTCCCCCCCNATAAAAAATAGGTTGTCCGAATTTAAAGGATTTTACATTGAAATTTATGTATAAAGGAGTGAATTTTGAAAAATAATGTCAATTAAAAGGATATTGACATAGATTAGTATTGCATTAATGTATATTAATTTCATAAATGCGGAAATTGTGTAAAATTCATCATTTATAAACGACTAAAAATTGACATTTTATAATAAAACCATATACACATAGTAATTGCATGTAAGAGTTATCGTTCTTGAAAAATTTCACAGTAGTGAAATAGGTAGCCGGTTTCCTGTATTACAGACAAATGGACACATGTGACTCATTGATTAAAAATCAACTGAATTAATGCCTGGATTGCTTTGAAATACTTTAATATTGATAAACACACTGTTCTGTCAATAATAAACATACAATATTTATCAGTTTAATATTAAACATTAGAATATGCGGATATTGTGATACTGTCTCCCTACATTGGATTTTCAATTAGGGATGTACTTCATATTTCCGTTTAGCAATACACTCCTATGACCTTAAAATATATTACAAAAACATCCTGGGCTGTACAAGAACTTTATACAAAATCAGTGTCTGATAATTGAAAATGTCATCACTTTTCAAAAAGTGTTGTCAGTTATAAGGCATATTTACTGTTGAGACACATATTTGAGTCTAGTGAAGAGGATTCGAAATTATTCTGATCTGAAATAAACTTAATTCTATTTA